TTTGATTTATTTATTTATTTATTTATTTATTTAAAACATAAAAAGAGAAACATTCATTACAAGTTTAAATTGCACCACATAAAATCCTTAAAAGACTACTTAAGAATTACAGTTTAGTTCTATTCAACTGAAACTTCTGAAATTAATCTAAATTAATAAAATAATAAATTATGTGTATTTTTTTTTCAACAGCTTAATTTATATGCATGCTTGTTATTTATTTATTAATTAATTATTTATTTATTTATTTATAATGGTGGTGGCTGGGAGAAGTCCTGTTCAGATGGTGGAACTCAGTTGTCAGGCAGTAATCAATCCTAAGATAGAGACTGTTTACTTCCACCCAACTCTACCTTCTTCCAAGCAATCTAATGTATGCAAAATCCTGCCAAACCTTCTTTCTGAAGGCCTGAACTTACAATTTGATTCAGTTTGCCTTTAATTTCGGCTTTAGCCAATTAAAAATTCATTAATTTTTAGTTGATTTTCTATCTCATTTGAGCTAAATTTCTTAATTTTATTTGTTGATTCCATCGGATGAGTGAACCTCCTACTCTTTTGTAGGTCATTCATTGTTGTGCATTCTTTTTTCTAGGCCGTTAGATCTCCTCAAAATCAATGCTAACTCATGCTAACTCATGTTTATGTATATTGATTTCTTTCTATATATATTTACATAAGTAACATCTAAACTTTACTTGTTTACATGTACTATTAAAATAGTTTATGTCACATCAAAAATATCACTATTATAATTTTTTTTTAAAGTGAAATACATATTTTCATGCATAGATAACTTGTTATATATACATAAATTGAATTTAAATGTTAAATCTATAAATACATAGGAATTAATTGTATGTATGTAAATCTTCGTCACTATATATATATATACCAGGGACTTACGCCACAGAGAGAGAGAGATATATATATGTATATATGTATGTATATATATCTGTATATATGTATCTGTATTTATGTATATATGTATGTATATATATGTATATATGTATACAAATATACATATGTATGTATGTATATATACATATATATGTATACATATATACATATATATATATATGTATATATGTATACATATATATGTATATATACATACATACATATGTATATTTGTATACATATATACATATATATATATTTGTATACATATATACATATATATACATACATATATACATAAATACAGATACATATATACAGATATATATACATACATATATACATATATATATCTCTCTCTCTCTGTGGCGTAAGTCCCTGGGGTTGGAGGTTCGAATCTCGTGACGCGGGTTCTTCGGACCAATTAAGGAACACCTGGGTTTCGACCTAAATGGAAGAAGCGTTATTTGGTGCCCACTGGATCAAATAGCGATTCCCTTTTAATATATATATATATATATAATAAAAGACATGCTAGCATGTTGAGAGCTAGCTTAGACTTTAAAAACTTACATATTAGGTATTTGCGTGTATTTGCAGTTAAATTGCCTAAATTATCTGAATATATAGTGATTTCTAACCGAGGAGAACGTGGTTAATTAGCAGGCCTTAAAAGCATTTAAATAATTAGTGAGATGACTAATCTCAGCTGGAGTTAATTAATTATTCCACGAACTTCCCACCTTCCATATGACCGTTGGAAGGTACCATTCAAACTTTCTTCCTTCTTCCTCTTTTCTCCCTCTGCAACAACCACCAAACTCTTTGCTTCAAATCTGAGAGATTACAATGGAAGAAAAACAAAAAGAAGAGAGAGATTGATTAAAAAGCTGGAGAATGCATGATAAATTTGACATGATTTAGAGTAGCCAACAAACCAGTAGGTGAGCCATCATCGCCATGGGAAGGCTTCTTCTTCACATTTATCTCTTTAAAATCTCACAGAAGCATTGAAACCTCCATTTTGATTTGATTTCTGAAGCTTCGGAGCTGCCATTAATGGAGCTTAATGGTTCTGAATGTACTGCTCAACAAAGTTCTGCAGGAAAATGGATGATCCTTGGCTTATTGTCTGCTGTGCTGTTTTCTTCTGCAGGTTGCCACTTCAATCATGAAATGATAAATGTGGTTATTTATTATTACCATTGACAAAGATTGTTTAATTGAATTTTGATTTTGGATTAGTGGCTTATGATCCGTTGGATCCTACGGGGAATATTACAATAAAGTGGGATGTAATCTCATGGACTGGTGATGGATATGTGGTAAGTTCTGTTCATTGAATTCCTTATCTATTTGTACTTCTTTGTCTTCTTGTCACTTGGATCACCTCAAAATTCTTATTGACAAATTTATGATTGACATATTTTAGTTCATTGATTCTCTAGCTTTTTAAAAGTGAGAGTTACGATAGGAATGAGAGAATGAACTATTTGGGGCAGCTCTAGCTTATTGAATAATCTGCTCATAAGCTGATTAAAAATAATCTGCTGATAAGTTAGGTGTGAAGACTGTTACAAATTTTTATTTTTTTGAAAAGCCAGACCGTAGTCAGTATGCTGTCACAAACAGACTATTTTCAGCGTTTTCAAAACACATAAGCTGCCAAAACGCAGTTTATCCAAACAGACTAGGTGCGTTTTCAAAACACCACCGCACCAAATAAGCTGCCCCAAACGGGTTATAAATGTCGAAGTAGATATCATTTATTTCATAATTGGAGTTTTAATAATTGAACTGAACTTTCTAAATTTTCTTGTGCCCATGATTGTTATAAATAAGGCGTGACTAACTGCTTTGTTATCCCACATTTGTTTTACATCTATATGTCTGTCGCATGTCTTATGCTATATTCCTTAGATACAATTCACGATCAAATCAGGAATCAACATTATTACTAAAGATATTTTTTTCAGAATAAATTATTAGCAAATGGACTACTAATTAAACAAAGATCCATAAAATACACCAGATCTAAAATCAAAGTTATTGAAGATCTATATTTGGTTGTCATGATCTTAAAAATGCAAGTCATTTTTATTTTCACCACTAGATATAGTGGCATGCCATTAGATTGAGTAGTATATTTAAAAATTTCTGTGATTATTAAATTGAAGAATCATTTATCTGGCAATTGACTTCGAGTCACATTAGAATAAGAAAATATTAGACGCAGAGACCGAACGTCCGAATAACGGCCTCAATGGGCCGTCGTGCGATCCATGACGACACGATCGCATTTGACTATTATCCGAACGTGCGGTCATCCACATGTTATATTTGCATCCCTACTATATGAATAAATTTTCTTGAAATGCCATGAAGTTTTGTACCATTCATCATCAACACTAATTCCACCTTTTCTCTCTTAAGGCCGTTGTAACAATGAACAATTTCCAAATGTTCCGTCACATAATGAGCCCCGGCTGGACCTTGGGCTGGTCATGGGCGAAGAAAGAGGTCATCTGGTCCATGGTCGGCGCTCAAACCACGGAGCAAGGCGACTGCTCCAAGTTCAAAGGCAACATCCCCCATTGCTGCAAGAAGACGCCCACAGTCGTCGATCTGCTCCCCGGCGTCCCCTACAACCAGCAGATCGCCAACTGCTGCAAGGGAGGGGTGATCGCCGCATGGGGTCAGGATCCATTGCAGTCCGTCGGAGCGTTTCAGGTCAGCGTAGGGCTTTCCGGCACGACGAACAAGACGGTGAAGCTGCCGACGAACTTTACCTTGCTGGGACCTGGACCGGGATACACCTGCGGCCCGGCGAAGATTGTGCCGCCCACCACTTTCCTCACGCCGGACCTTCGCCGGAAAACACAGGCGCTCAGTAAGTTTCTTTCATCTTGAACCCTAGTAATGATTGTTGGGCGTGCTCATGTTAGTGCAATTGTGATGGGAAGCTTTGAAGGCTGTTAAGTGAACTAATCAACTCAATGAATGGCTCCATATGCAGGGACATTTACATACATTGCACCACAAACATTGCTATTTACAAATCTAGCAACCTCGTTCTTCCATTTTTCAAATTCTCACTCAAATATCAAAATTCATGAGAAAACCCCAACTAATATTTTTCATTTTTATCATATTTTTAATGATTTGATCGTGACGCTTGAACCTAATGGTTCTGTAGTTCAAAAATAGCACTTGAATGCTAGGTTTTGTAAATAGCAATGTTTCAGATGATATGTATGTAATTATATCATATAAAAATGATATCTACCACTCATTTACTTATTATTATAAAAAATAAAAAAAATGTAAAAATAATCTCTCTTTTTAAGAGATCATTTTAATCCTGGAGTGTATAAATATATTAATTTTGTCCACAAATATTTTTAATATTGCTTAAAAAAATTACGATAAAAATTATTTAGCCCTCATTAAAAAAATATACCGACTAATTATTTGATATTTTTATGGATTCTAATACTAAAATGTCACAAACAGACTATTTTGAGAATTTATTTATTATTATAAAAATGCCCATTTGCTGTGCAGCCCATGGCTCACTAAACAATACACCTTTAGTGATCACTTAACTACATATTTGATGGCTTATATTATGTTATTGTATTATTTTTCTTAACATCCTATGAACTTCAAAATTTGCATTTATTGCTAGGAGATATAAAGCACTTAAAAGCATTAAACAAATAGTTATATGGATTGATAAAAAATCTCACTTTTATTGTTTCTACTACTACTTAAGAGTTTCACAAGCATTAGAGATAGCATTATTACAATTTTGATGAAAATTATTGAACAAATAGCATTTACTGTGTGTCTGTGCAGTGACATGGAATGTAACTTGCACCTACTCACAATTCCTAGCCTCCAAGAACCCCAGCTGCTGCGTTTCCTTGTCTTCTTTCTACAACAGTACAATCACTCCTTGCCCAACTTGTGCCTGTGGCTGCAAGAACAAAAACTGCATCAAGTATCTCACCCTCAATCCACCCCATTCATGTGTCCTAAATAACTGCACTGATATGTATATGAAATATGACAAATGGTGTATCTGTGATATTGCAGAAGTGACTCGAAGCTTCTGAGTGTGGCGGGGGTCAACACGCCGAGGAAGGACAACGCGCCGTTGCTCCAGTGCACGACGCACATGTGTCCGATACGCGTGCACTGGCATGTGAAGCTCAATTATAAAGATTATTGGCGCATCAAAATCGCTGTCACGAACTTCAACTATCGCCTAAATTACACGCAGTGGACGCTTGTCGTGCAGCACCCCAATCTCAACAATGTCACTGAGGTGTTCAGCTTTGATTACAAGCCTTTGGTGCCCTACCAATCCATAAGTAAGTAGCTCATTATAGCTACATAACTCACAAGAAAGCTCCTTACTTTAACAAGTATGTCATGCTCCAGTAAAGAAAAATAAAAGGAATTCAAAAGAAGATCAAAGAAGTAAGATTTTTAGTTATTATAAAAGGGATAAGTTAGTTGCAAGGACTTGGCTTCATAAACCTGTAGACAAAATAATGAAGCATTCTCTCCATGTTAATTGTTACTATACTTCATTTTGAAGCATTTTGCATCAATTAGCTTTTGCTTGACGGAAAATTAGAATTTTTACAATCCCAAATTTTTGTAGATATATCACTAAAGCAACATTCTTAACATGTGTAAAGTTCAAATTTTAATATCAGTTAATTGCAATCTAATGGTGATTTACTCCTTCCAATTGCAAAGAAAGAAATTAACTTGGGAAAGTTTAGATTATTTAGAAACAACTTCCTTTAGAGAAATGAATCAATGTTCTTAATCACAACCCTGTGATGCAGATGACACGGGCATGTTCTATGGAATGAAATACTTCAATGACCTACTAATGGAAGCTGGGCCTTTGGGGAACGTGCAGTCGGAGGTACTCATGGAGAAGAACATCGACACTTTCACCCTCAAAAATGGCTGGGCATTCCCTCGAAAAGTATACTTTAATGGAGACGAATGCATGCTACCATCACCAGACACATATCCTCATTTGCCTAACTCTGCTCCAGTAAGCAGTACAGTCACTACATCCATTATTACTGTTGTTTTCTACTTGATTATCATGGTAATCGTTTAAATTTATTTAGATTTAGAATCTTGATAATTTTTTTTGGGACTGTAGATATATTGGATTTGTTGGTATTTACTGTTTTATGCCTGAAAAAAAGGGTGAGAGTGTAAGCAAATCACAGCAGTACATATCATGTAATTTCTTCATTACAAAGAGTTGTAAGCATTCCATTTCTTTTTTAATAGAAATTGTGTGAGTTAAAAATTTAATGATAGAACCAAACATTAAAACAGAAATTTAAAGTTCTTTATGAGCACTGGCTCATGATGGTACAGAGATGTAGCTCATTCTACAGGCAAAAAAAATTGAATTCCAATCACTTATTTGTAATTAATGATATAGTGAACAATGTTATCCATCAATATCAGCCATCACAAACCTGAGCCTACACATCCTTTGCTACAACTGAACTTTTATGATCTTGTGGAGAAGCCAACCCCGGTTTCCAAACACATATTTAAAATTACTAAGAAGAGGACATGGTTGAATAAGGCTCCCAGTACCGTGGAGCATAGAACCTTGTTGTATGTTACAAAGTTGAAAGAATCAAATATGTAAGCAAGCTCTATATTTTGCATTTTAGTAGGGATAACCCAGCAAGCAAGCCAAAATTGCAAGAAAACCCATGACTGGCGAAGCGATAATGGGAATTAGCCTCGGGCTCGCATTTGGCAGCCATGGATACGCATCTGGCGGTGGCATAACGCAGTTATCACCATTGAAGTATAAACGTCGAGGAAAAGCCCATCCTTTCTCAAATGTGAAAGCCGACGAATCTTTGCGAAATAGTATTTCTGATTGCACATTTCCAAGAGGACCAGCTTCCATGAGCAAGTCGTTGTAGTACTTAACTCCCCACAGCATTGCAGTATCATCTGAAGAGAAAATCGTAACTCGTGTCATTAGAAAAACATGAAAAACATTGTTAGAGCAAAATTTGAAGAGCGGAAGCATGGTATAGGAGCATTCAACTCACTTATTGATGCTGAGTAAGGGGTCAAGGACTTGTAATTGAAGCTAAATATTTGGGTAACATTGTCAAAGTTAGGGTGCTGAACGACAAGGTTCCACTGCGTATAATTCATCCGATAGTTGAAATTAGTTACAGAGATCTTAATCCTCCAGTACTCTTTGTAGTTAAGTTTTACATGCCAATGAACCCTTATAGGACACATATGAGGTGTGCATTCCACCAAAGGTGTGAAGGTCTTCTTGCCGGGGCCATTCACAACGGATGCCAAGTAAGGTGAATCCTCTCTGCCAAACAAAGAGAAAGTTAGAATCACAAAAGGTAGACTGAAATTAATTAGAGATTGGGAGCGAGACTTTAAGCGACAGAACTCACTCCACGCAGCTTCCGGGCTGAGTTATGTTATTTTGGCAGCCACAGGCACACGTCGGACAATCGACTATGGTGTCATTGTAGAAAGAAGAAAGAGAGACACAGCATGTGGGAGTTTTCTGAGCAAGGAGTTGTGAATATGTGCATGTAACATTCCATGTCACTGCAATAAAGATTTTGAGCATATCAGATCAAAATGTATAATATGAAGGCCAAATCCGACAAAGCGGATCACCCTTAAAGCGAAGACTAAAGAAAGCCACCCAAAACTTGAACCTTTCTGTGAACAATTTAACAGTTACAAGCTCTGAACCAAGAAGCATAATAAAATCAATGGAGAGGAAAACTATGTAGAGGTCTCAAACTTACTGAGAGCTTGAGTTGTTCTCCTTCCATCTTGTGTGATAAATTTAGTAGGTTTCACAATAGTTGCCTGCCCACAAGTATACCCAGGGCCTGGAGCATTAAGTGTGAAGTTCTTTGGAGCACGAACAGTCTTATTAGTCGTTCCAGCCAGACCCACACTGATCTGAAATGAACTCGCGGCAGTGGAAGGATCTTGAACCCAAGAGTTAATGACTCCGCCTTTGCAGCAATTCGCGATCTGCATATTATAGGGAGTTCCTGGAAGAAGATCTACAACTGTGGGATCCTTCTTGCAGCAATGGGGAATGTTGCTCTTAAATTTTGAGCAATCTCCTTGCTCTGTGGTCTGTGCTCCAACCATGGACCAGATCACCTCCTTCTTCGCCCAGGTCCATCCCAAGACCCATCCTGGTGCTTGAATATGACGATATTGTTGAAAATTGAACATAGTTACAACTGCCTGAAAGCATTCATGATACAATTATTAGATCAAAATGAAATCATTTATATAATTTCTGGCTGTGTTCGCATAGATTATAGTCTTGTCTGCTTACAACATAGCCATCTGGAGTCCACTGCATGATGTCCCATTTGATAGTTATGTTTCCATTCGGATCAAGTGAATCATAAGCCTCTGTACAGGCAGCAAAAAGGAGCATTCAGATCCGGTTAAACAAATTGCCTTCAAAGATTGAACAAGACATTGCAAAATTTAACCTAGGGCTTCATACTGTCAATTTCCGGGATTATAGCTTTTTTTTTTCTTTTCAAATTCAACACTGGTAAGTCGGCAACAAAAGAAACGCCAATCGAAACAGAAGAAAAGATGCCTTATAGTCTAATAAGACAAGATCAGATGAGATTTTGATTAAACGCATCGACTAACTTTAGAAAACCCTAATAAGATCTACAAAAAGCAAAACACTAAAAAAAACAATCTTTGCAACTGAAAACTATAGAAATTCAACCAAGGTAAGAAGATAAACAATCTCCAGGAATTATATTTTATCATTCCAGACCAAACCAGAAGAATTTGATCTGTAAAACTGAGTAGCGAGAAGAGTGAGCTCAATAGCCTAGAACTGACCTGCCGATCTCATGCTTGAGAAGATAAGAAGGGAGAAGAGGGAAACAGTCCAAGATGTAATCTTTAGTATTGCTCTAAGACTTGCCATCTCCATTGCTTACAGAGTTGAAGGTTTCAGATCTGCGGCTACTCGCTGTGGGTAGAAAGCGGGCGAGCGATGAGAGACAGCTTCATACATCCCCTTATATAGCTGGGTTAAAAAAATCATTTTTGGCTTTTGCTCATGCCTGTTAACATGAGTAAAGAATCACTCTTTTTTTTATTGTTTATGAGCAAGTTATTGGTGAGACAATTGTAAGTGTAGTTTAATTTTTGTTTCAGATTTATATCGATGACAGAGAGGAATTGAGCTCTGCACATGCAAAATTAATGAATAAGGACCATGTGCTGAAAGATGGTTTCTCAAACAGATATTTGAGCTCTAAGTCAATGAATGGAGGTAGATGATAGGACAAAGCTGACATTAGACCTCTATCACACGTCCCTCGTCGTCAATTTTTTATCACAAGGACTCGTTGCCACTTTTCCGATGTGTTCTGTCACTCTTCTAATCAAAGTCAAGTCAGTTGGCAACCCCCTTGTGTAATATTGCTCTCGGCTATTGGTGGGCCAACAAAGCCTTATAAGTTATTGCATTATAATTGAATCATTTCAACTGAGTAAGGCTCCGTAATTTTCTCTCTTTCTGGTTTTCCATGCAATAATACTTGTAGTCTTCTTAGCTATGTTTTTTTTTTTTTTTTTTTTTTTTTTGTTGAATCTTCGTACAGGGCTAAAATTTCAACGTACAGTGCTAAAATATCAATACATCACCCTAACATTACAAATTTATCAGGTCTCAACAGAAGTAATTTGATCTTTTTTATTATTGGAAGGGTAAAAATAAATTTATGTTGTCATCCAGATTTGTGTTGGGAAAACATAAGTCTGTTAAGTTGGATTTATCCATGAAGACCTTAGGCATCAAAATTGGTATGGTAGGAGATGTGAATTAAGCGAAAATTTAAGCTAAAAACTTTTGTTGAATTCGAAATTGTTCTTGAATCATGCCCAAGAAACAGAGCATAGGAGAAGAGTGAAGAGATAGAAAGAGAGAGAGAGGGGTGCTTTCTATAATTGATCTATAACGAGTTTTGCCCTTTACAATAAATGTCTTCCCTAGCTTTAGAGAATCTAGTGTAACACAAGAAATAACATTTCCACTCCATATCCAAATGAGGCTCCCAATGATTTGTGGGTCATTAATCATCCTCAAGTCATCTTTTGTCACGACCAACTTTGCTCGAACGACTTTGCTCGGTCGACTTTGCTCGATAGGACATGCTCGGAAAATCTATCGCTTGTGGGATATTTGACCTCTATGCAGGGTGGTTCCATCTAAGGATACTTGTGAGGTTGACTCTTTCATCTGATCGACTGGCATGTCATGTAAATTTCCGTATCGAATCAGCATCATCTATTGGCGGTCAAATTTTGAAGTTTCAAACATCATAGTGATCAATCATCCTCCGATCACCTTTTGGCCTGTCTTGGTAGGTCTTACGACCTCCTTACAGACGGCCTCCCTTTATGAAATTTCATTTCTCTAGACCATTGGATGCCTAGGAGATCAACACAAACATCTTTTTGAGATACAACTTTGAAGTTTGGTAGTAATGATGATTTGGTTTGAATGCTGTGACCTATGTTAGAACTTAAATATTTTTTGTTTATTATATTTTAGAAATTAAGTTTTTTCCTCTCTTTTATTTTAAGTGTCGAAATGTTAACATGTGTTACAAGGCTGTGCATGAAAATATATTTCATTTGCATGTAAATAGGAATGTTTAGAACCTTTAGGTGGTAGATACGTAAATACATACGAAGTTTTATTTTCGAATTATTTGTGAATTAAAAAATAATTAAAAAAATAAAGAAATAAAGAAGGATTTCTGTCAAAACAACGTTGGTTAAATTCATTTATATATATATATATATATATATATATATATTGTATCCTCCTCTCTCATATATATATATATATATATTTATTTATTTTTATTTTTTTTTTCTGCCGACACTTTGCGTCGGTGCTGTCACCAACTAAGCAAATATACTACTCAACCGCTATGCTCTATATATTTTAATTATTTATTATTCTATTATTGCGGTTGAATATATGTAATATTAAATTTGGACAGAAAACTAAAGGGGCATTTACATATATACCAGTGTATTTACATATTTACCACCTAGACTGATTTTTTACATTTATACCACCCTGTGTTGAGAAATTTAGAGCGAAGAAAAACATGAATCGACACAAAACCAAAAGAACACCAAGATTTACGAGGTTCCACAAAGATGCATACGTCCTCGGGAGCAGAGTGGCGAATTTACTATTTCAGAGGAGTTCAGTACATACCCATAGGGTTACACATAATATATATAGATAAAACCCACAAATAAAATTATGAACACTCCCTCATTCCCCCTAACTCACTAAATTTTTAAGAGACACCTCTTCAATTCCAAGAGATACTCGTCTTCATTCCAGGAGACACACATCTTCAATTCCAAGAGTTCAAATTCTAGTATATGAGCCATATCTAACATCCTGATCCTGCATATCACATCAAAAAAACAACTTTTGGAATGTGAAAAACGTTTTAATGCAAAGGTAAGGTGGTATATGTGTAAAAAATTAAGATCTTAATGTTAGATATGTAAATAAAAAAGAACTGAGCGGTATATATTGAAATATTCCAAAATTAAAAGGGACTATTGTCTAGGATGAGAATACAATAATTGCCAGCTAGTGGTGGACTGGAGCCCTCCTAAACCTGCAGGCCATCTTCTGATGTTAGTTTTTTACATTTACATCCTTATTTTCTCAAAAAATACAAATCTCTGTATAATTTTTCATACATCAAACTATTCAATTACAAAAATAAAAAAAAATTTAGAATTACTTTTGAGATCATCTAGATGTTAATATAAATAAACTTAAATTGTCAAAATGAGCACACAAAAATGAGACAAAACAAAAACCAAGTGACCGTTTGGGACAACTTATTTGGTACGGTGGCGTTTTGAAAACGCACTCGGTCTATTTGGGTAAATTGCATTCTGACAGCTTATGCGTTTTCAAAACGCTGAAAATAGCATTTTCACACCGCACATATTTAGGTGTGGTGGCAGCTTTCGAGCTGCGTTCAGACTTTTCCAAAAAAATTAAAAATTTGTAATAGCGACCACACCTAATTTATTGGCAGATTATTTTTAATCAGCTTATCAGCATATTATTCAATAAGTTGCAGCTGCCCCAAACAGACCCTAAGAATGTCTTGATCCAACTCTAAATAAATCAAAATCAAACACTTGAGCATATATGAAGCTTTTATGAGATCATTTTGATAACCAAAAGATTTTTTGCATTTAAAGTGCTCATAGCCTAAGCAATCAGTTTGATAAAATAAACTTAAAAGCTTGTCAAATTCTTAAGTTGTACCATCACTTTTGCTTAGTGGCTTTATGATTTCAATTTAGATTAATCTTGTTAAGTATATGGCCAATAGGAGAGAGTGGTTGATTCTAAGTATTAGGGTGCTTGTATTTACATGTGCATGGGGCCGGTTTGAGTTTCTTCGGTCTTGTTTTGCTTGATGGGGTTTTCAAAGGTAAAGAGAAAAGATGTACAAGAAGAGGAAGAAATAATGAAGGAAAAAAATATATATGTCTATGATGATGGAGTAAGAAAAATTTTCAGGATATGATATATAAGTGTGATGATAATTTCATGAAAAATCTTTAAATAATATAATTTTTTTGTATTATTGTGATAATTTTTATTTATTGTATTTTGAGTTATTTTGTCTCTCTTTGTGATATAACAATATTAATGAGATAATTACGAGCTAGCATCCTTTTGATAAATAAAGATGCAAAAAAAAAATTAAAAAATAATGAATTTTAGGCATGTAGAGGTGGCATCTTATTATTGCAACATTAAAGACAAGTTATGAATTTATTGTCCAATTATGATAGTGGTGTTTCTCATTAAGGGTCTATTTGGGACGGCTGCAACTATGAATTTGTTGCAAAACAAGTTATTATTCAAAACATTATAGAGGTTATTTTATTTTTATTTCTTTTTCAAAAGGCAAGACCATAATTTTTTGGTTGGCAACCATTTCACTTAGCCAATTTAAGTTATAAAATATAATTTTTCCATCACTTCTTCTTGAGATGTGATAGAATCCAACATTCAAACATTTCCATGAGTGTTAAAATGTGGGGAAATGATAGTAAAAATTGTCTAAGTTCTGCACGTGAACCGATGACACACTATCTCAAAGTAAGTCAAGGTCAATGATAGTACACAAAATTCCCTTTATTCATATTTTAAATATATAATAATAATAATAATATTAAAGAAAATTGCCTAAATTTAAGCCCAACCCGCCAAAAACCGTTACAGCTGCCCAAATTCTTTCAGGCGTTCATCAAATTTCCATCCCATCGCATCCCATTGGAGCCCAATTAGCCCATTTAGCCCATTTAGCCCAATTAGAGACATGAAACAAACAATAAATTATTAACATGTCCCACCTTCCCTCGTCGGGCACCACCTACATTTAAATATTAATGTCTTTGCTCAATCCGGTCTCTTAGAAAGGCAGCAGGCAGCAGCCACTCAACCTGATTACTCTATTTCGAGTCCTCTAATCAGCACTCCTTAATAGTTTCTTAATAGCACTCGCTACATTTTTATGTTGTAAATCATAGGTGTTGAATCCTAAAATATAGTAAGCCGAAGGGAGGGAGAGAGAGAGAGAGAGAGAGAGCAAGGATAGCAAAGTATTGAACACTAAATTTGAGTAACTATTAATCATGAAATGGATCTCATATTTATAGGAATTAAGGGTTGTATAACTACATACAGTACGAAATAAAAGTAGATATGGCGGGGGTATTTTAGTTTATACATAAATATGACCCTAGCTATCAAACTAAGCGGTCGTTAAACTAGGGGACCATTAACCCAAGTGGTTGCTTGCTGAGAACTGGTGTCAATTGCTCTGAAATTGAACGGTTTGTTTCTCCCATTTGGTTTGTCCAGGGTGGAGGATGTTGAATTCGTCGGCATTAGTCTGGTCAGATAGATTCATTAGGAGTTGATCTACTCTTATTCGCCTGAGAGGTATAAATCTTTTGGAACACGAGAGCCAGCCGGCTAAGAGTGCGGTCCTCGATCGTCTTTGGAAGGACCTGCGATGCAACGTAACCTCTTCCTCTAACTGTGATATATATTTGAAATTCAAAAAAACATATTCTTAACATACACTATAAAATATTTGATTTGTTACAAAGGACAACTTGAATTTATCTCTTTACACAATGATCCACCTAAAATCTATAAGAGATTGAAACTTTGAATAAACCAACTAATCGCTACATTTAAAACAGTTAGGTTGAGTAGACTATCTCTTCAGACTAAATAATTCAAGATCCAAATAACCCAAGTTGATATAATAATAGGATCTAAAATCGAGTTCTTCATCATTTCCCTCACTATCAACTCACTATACACA